CACTCTTTCTTTGTAAGACTTGGCCAGATGATACAACAGGATATAATCTCATTTATTTAGATTTGCCAGGATGGAAAATGAAGGCATTCATTTAGAATAGATGAGAAAAGAATTGAAAAAGAAGATAATCCTGAGGGAACAGAGAAAGGAATCAACACATTTTCAATTTGTTGCTCCTGATGTCTTAAGAAAAACAAAATAATGACAATATATTTAATATATAGCAGGAAAGTGCTCTAGAACTCTCAAGGGACTGAAAAGTAATCAAAATGGCACTTTCTTCAGGGAGCTGGCACTTCTTGAGAAGCAAAGTTGTGTTTTTGTTTTTGTTTTTTTTTAGGGGAAAATTAAAAATAGAGATGGAAAATCCAACAAAACTAAAATAAAAGAATGCAAGCCCACTGTGACTCAGTTAAGCCCACTGGATGTTTCATGGCAACTGACAGCTTTCTTTCTGAATTTTAGGTTCTCATGGTTGGAAAAAGTAGATGAATAAATCCCCTAGGGTTGCCATAACAAATTACTTCAAAGCTGGCAGCTTAAATTACAGCCACATAAATTAATTCCTTCACAATTCTGGAGGCCAGAAGTCCGAAGGTAGGGTGACAGCAGGGCATGCTTACTCCAGAGGTTATAAGAGGAATCCTTCCTTGCCTTTTCCAATTCTAGTGACTCTGGGTATTTCCTGGCTGTGTTTTTACCACTTATCACTTCACATGGCCTTCTTCTTTGTGAGTCTGCCAAAACTCATTTGTTCTCTCTCTCTTTTATTTTTATTTTTATTTTTATTATTATTAATTTTTTTTATCATGGGGTATGTATGCATGCCAAAGAGACAGAAAGTGAGAAATTGCCCCCCCTGGGGAAAATGACCACACCACAATCCCTTCTCCATTCTCTTCTCAGGATTCTGGACATGCACTCACACATGCCCAGTGTGATTTTCAAACCATGGGGTCAGGACTGGAACTGCAGTAGGCCATACGGGAGCCCCGTGCCTTGATGGCACTTGGGTCCACCTAGATAATTCAGAATAAAGTCCTCCCAAGATCCTTAATTAACCATAGCTTTTGCTGTTTATCTGTGGGGTCCAGGATTAGGATATGGGCATGTCTTTGGTGTCACCACTCACCCTACTTTAAACTCAGTAACTCTTCGCTCACTTATCATAGAATAGATCTGCCTGCATATAGTCTGCTGCCTTCTAAATTACACGTATTCTCCAGTTTTGCTTCTGTTCTTTCCCTTTGTTAATGATCTAAATAGAAACATGACTCACATTGACTTCTTCCTTCCTATTTCATCTTGTACTATGAAAAAAAGTTACTCTCTCAGAAACCCTAGCAACTTAACAGTGTTGCTGATCTTTTGGGAAATCCCTGGTTTGTATTTACAAGAACATACTCTCCAGACTTAAGCTTATGTCTCTAAAATGTCTGAGTAAATGACTCTGTGGCTAGCATATTAGTGTAATCAGCAGGAGCTCGTTTTATCTCCCAGGAATACAATTTAAGATCTTTAAAATCAAAGGGCCTCTTTGGAGAGGTGCTGAGTGAGGCTGGAGTGAGAGTGTTCATGGTCACTCTCATCCAGTTAGAATGGGGAAAGAGCAGAGTCACAGGGGAACGGAGCTATGTGTTGTCATGTGATGTGCACACCGTCACCTCCCATCCCCTCATACACATGCACTTATCCCTTTCTCAAGTGCTTTTATTGATATGTTGAGCAAACTGGTGATGAATTCCCAAGTTAGGGATTTCAATAGAAGGCAATGATTTCCTTGCAGAATATTATGTGACAATGAGAATCAGATTCTAGGTCTGGACCCTAAGAGACCCAGCCAATAGCCCTCCCAAGGGAGTGGCCCATGTCTCATGCCATGACTTATGTGGTAAGGTTGGGCAGACGTTCTTTGTGGGGGACACACACATGGAGAATAGAGACAAGCTTATTTTACACTTTTACTTCCCTCGTGAGACCACTCCCTCCCCTTCAGCCTACCTTTTCTCAGACCACTAGAATTTTCTGCTGTCCGTATAAGTCCTTTCCTGTCCCCCAAAAAACAAATAGCTTGTTACCAATTACCCAAGTCATTTAGGGCAAATCAGTGACTAAGAATGCAGCATTCTGGAAAAGGACCACAGAATTAAGCCTCAATAAAATGCACAGTACATGAGATTCTAAGCTTGCTAATTTAGTTTTAAAGCTAATTGTTCATTCCCTTCTGGTTTCTTCCAAATCCTAACAAACAGTCTCAGGAACCCTGCTTGACTGGAACTTAAAACTCTCTCCCTCATTTCTGTAGCTTTCATCTGGGCAGGTGGGGACCTCTGTGGTCCTTATCCCAGGAAGCAGAGGGCCAGGTAAAAACAATAGATGGAGAATCACGAGAAGGTCTGGTCCTGTCTTGGTGTAGCTAGTTGTATGGTCTTTAAAACCCACTGGGGACTCTTTCATATGCTTCCTGTACATTGAGACTCTCAAGGCTCTGGGGGTGAGGCAGGAAGTAGGATACAAAGATAGGATCGGTTCCTGAGCTCAAGGAATTTCTGGGGTAAAAAGTTTCTTTGCGCAAAAATCAATCATAGTACCATTCCCCCGAAGACATTTTAGAGTATTCCCTTCTAGACTTTTTTCTATACTATTTTCTTGTTTGCTGCTTCTTTTGTTTAACGTAAATTTGCATCCTGCCTTTTCCCATTTACACTGTAACAAAAACATTTTTCCATGTTAGCATAAAGTCTTTAATGATTAAATTATATTCCATCAACAGAATGTGCCATAGTTGGGAGAATAAACCGCTTTCATTATTTTCTTCCCCTGATGCATGGAGCTTTTTCCAAATTTATAATAATAGACTATTGTGGGTGACACTGGGTTAGTTTCAATAATATAATCCTTTTGACAGGGAGTTTGTGAACATGAACTTAATGCAATAGGTGAAGGAAAAAGGACTTTGGAAAAAAATGGCAAATCAGCTATTAAAAAAAAAAAAAAGCCTAGGGTAACCCCAAGGCCTGGTGGTTAAGGAGACTGGATCCCACATGACTGACCCCAGGGTCAGAGTCCTAGACCCAGCCTCTTGAGTAACACACCAAGTATGTGTGCTTGCATCCTCAAAATCCTGAAAGGAGGGAGAAATGGAGAAGGGATTACAGTGTCGCCATGCCCCATGGGGTGGTGATTTCTTACCACCCCTTCCAGTGAGTACACATGCCCTCTGGCAAATTAAGGGGGGATATATATGTATATATATCCTAAAGAACGTTTTATTTTGGGTGCCAGGCCTTAACAGTGATAAAATTGGATACTCTGCAAGGCAGACTTGCATGCAAAGTTTACATGTTTGTGTCAGGAGACCTCCCTGAGTGTGCCAGGCATGCAAGTATACATGATCTGGGCTGCTTGCAGCTGGGGTGGTTCAAGATGTCAAGACCCTGCCAGGGGTGCACTCTCTCTCTTTCTGGATGTCTCACTCACTCATGGACTAAATAAACT